AGGACACTGTGGGCTGGAAAAGACTTAATATGTAACAGTGATCTGTAAAGTGGAGTCAGGAGCTGTGAGGGTATAAGTGGTCAATAAATCTGATATTAAGTTCAAAACATCATCATACTACGTGACAGTACTAAGTAAAAGATATCACTACCAAAACCCTTCAGAAGTGAAGGGATAAGTTCTTCAGGAATCCTAGAACAGTTGTTGCATGTACATCTGTGTTAACATTAAGAAGGCACTTCAGTTTGGCCTACCTCAATATAAACAGCAATGACTTTTCTGAAGAGCACTAACTGAGATGCAGTCCGTCTCTGAGGTAGGAACTGCCTTTTTAACTATTATTTAGATGAATTTCAAACTTCAATGGGCTAACATCAATGACCTATTGACAGAAGATCTTATTAACTGACCATCACTTTTTCCACCTCTCCCTGTAAGGGGATCAACAACAGCCAACTGCATGCCAATCTAATGTCAGCAGTGAAGACAGTTCTCCCTGTGCTTAATTAATTAAGCATCATGCCATGAAGATGTAGGGGAGAGTGAAGGTATAGGTCCACCATTCTTGACTTTGGCACTAGACAAAGGTGAGTGGTCAGCTTTGCGCACTGACCGCTTTACCCCAGGGAGAGGACCCTGTTCCCACTGGATAAGAGGCTGGGTAGGCTCCAGAGCAGCTAGGAATTGAATCCTGGCCATCCAGCCTATAGCCCGTTGTTATACCAACTGTGTTGACTACTTTAGCTCAGGGAAAGAGCCCCATTTCTATTGGATAACAGGCTGGGTGGGCCCCAGAGCATGGTCTGGATGCTTTGGACAAGAGAAAAGTATCTTACCCTGGTCTTCTAGCCCATAGCCCATTGCTATACTGACCGTGCTGTCCCAGGTCCTAAATGTTAGCAGCAGCAATCTTAAACATCAATAGTTTGTACAAGGTCCAAGAGAGTCCATGTGCCTCCTACTGATGGTCTCAGGAAATGGCAGGCTACCCGATGTCCTCCAGTAAGGTGTGAGATAGTATTCGTGACACTAACGACACAGTGTAGTGAACGAGCCCTTGGACTGTACACAGACATCCCACCATATCTTGCCCCCACCCCACCTGCAGGGCATGACATTACATTTCCCGAGCTACAGCTGTCAGAAGAGCCTAATTTAATAGTCCGTGAAAATTCCTCTAAAGAGGCCCCAGTGTCTTCTTGCCCTACTCTGGCAGCCTCAGTTGCTGGGTCCTCTACTGCTCTTAAGAACATTCTCATGAACTATGTAGGAGTCGAAGTTCCCACACTGGTGGTATGAAGAGCTCTGTTTTCTGAGATATAACAACTGACGTTTCAAAGGAACATATCGCCCCC